GCGCACGTAACAAAGAAATATTGGCAGCTGTAGAAGAAATGTATAGTACGCAGGTAAAATCTTTATGCAGTTCAGGTATTCAATTCTCATACCTCATTACTGCTATGGTACTAAGCAACATTCTCTATTCAACCTCCCTTTATTGTAGATTTACCCTGGGGTGGAAAGGGTCAGCTAAGCAGGTTATCATGGCACAGTACCATATACAGGAAGCCAATATAATCACACATTAAATCTGTAACTGAGTCATCTTCTCCCCTTAACGGCTCCACTGATGAATATTTATAGTGCCCTAAAAAACTGTTGCTGGGATAACATGGAAACTCGAGTGTACGCACGTATTTACCTTCTAGAACCATTTGTTATTATATGCAGACGATGTCTACTGGTACATAGAGGAAGGTGGTGGTCAGCATTTCCATTAAATTAAAAAATATCTGGAGGAACACAACACCATATCAAAACTATTATTGTTTTATCTGTTCTGAAGGTGTCAAAAGTTTGCTCCCTCCCAAACTGAAGCAGTATCGACCCTAAATGAGATAGAACAACACACCAGCACCAGATGACAGTCAGAGTAAATCAGTTTGGAGACTGAGTCCTGTGACTGTTTCACCACTGAGAGCGAACTTTTGACCCTGACTATACATGTGTAAGGAAGGACACTCAAAAGGTACAATGATTGACTAAAATCATTATAATGTACTGTACCTTTAATAAATGTAATGAAAATGACTCGTAAATTTTTGTACATCTCAGTAGTACAGTAACTGCTCGGAAACATCACTGTATACTGTACTAACTAACTCATTCACTACTGTCATTAATTATAGTATACCAGTAATGTAAAGCCAAAACTGTCATGATATATAAAACAGTGCAGTGAATCATAACACAATTCACACACATTAAAGGTTTTACAGTAGGATCTCTGAAATTTGGTTCGGAAAACTAAACTTTGGATCATTTCTGGCCTGGACCATAGATATATTCCAACACTCAGAAAATAACCCCCCAAAATCAATTTTTTTTTTGTACCCATTAAGTAAATCAAATATACACTTATTTTTCCTTTTGTCTATTAACTTCTTTCAGTTTTCAGTGTTCCCAGTAGTTGTAGTATACATGTAATGTACAGTATAGTCAGTAAAACAAGCATCGACCACTCCAACGTTGATGGAATAGAAAATGACCATTAATCACCTGATGGCAGTCACCACAGGTATATGTTTACAGTTTTCACACAATGTTTTGTATTGTTATGGACAGCAGGATGATCCATACTTTTTTTTACTGACTGTAGAATTTTTATATACAGTACTGTACACAGTATCTTTATTTATTTCAAGCTGGTAAATTTTCCATTTCCCGGTACAGTATACTGTATATACATTATATAAATCAACAGTTGGTTTATCCCAGAATTCTGAAAGAGTCAGGCTTCAATCAATCCAAATTTTAGAAGTTCCACTATATAGACGTACATTATCGGTGAACACATTACAAGTCTGGTCACTTGTGTTTTTTTTTTTTTACTTCTTCCCAACCTGATGTTACAACATTTGTTCCTTATACAGTACAGTAATCTAAATTCTTAAAACTTAAATATAACAAAAACTTGCCGATCTTTGAGGTACTCTTGGTGATGTGTACTGTGTGTCGAGGACCACCGGACACTACCGGGTACTTAACAATGTGCCACTTGTGCTCACACACCCAAATCTTACAATGATAAACATAAAAACCACTGAAGGAACCAATATATGATGCAGTACTGTATAATAATAACAAATTCTAAACATGGCTCTACACAGCGGCACATTATTTTCATCACATTTTAACTGCCATACATCTACCTCCTTCCCTTTGTTACAAATGAATAAAGAATAAATTTAATAAAAAATTCCTGTATCTTCACACACAATACAGAAAGACACTTAAAGAAAGGTCCATCAAAACTTTTAACACATTCACTGTTACTCAGTCAAAAGTCCTGTTGTCTCTCCTGCTGCTCAATGAACCTCAAGATTCAGACTCATGAACCCGAAACAACAGTGGACAGAATAGTGCATCTGTTTCTACTGCTTTGTGTTCACGAGACTGAATCTTGGGGTTCATGGAGTACTAGGAGGGGCGACAGGACTTTTCACCATGACTATACATTAAATCAACAGCATCGTCACAGGGCCACGCGTACCTCTCACAAAAAACCACCCACAAGTGTTCAATTGAAATATATTCAACCTGTACGTGATATCCTTATTTAAAAAAAAAATCAAGTTATACCGGTAGTTATGATTTAAGTGTTTTGTGCACTTGAAGAATGAGAGGTGTGACGTGTAATGCATATTTTGATTCATTGGTCAGTCAGTACCCATAAGCCGACACTCTTAAATAATACTTACACTACCTTTGTCTATTTCAATCTCCAAGAAAAGAAAAAAAAATTATCATCCAACATTAAGGATTTCTTTTAATGTCAATTTCTAGAAAAAAGTTCATTATGGCACTGAATTATGGACACTACAGCACAACAAAACCTTCAGTATAAAATATTTCTCTTGTATATCTATTGCATTCCATTTCTCAACAGCCGAAAACTCAGCCTCTAAAATTAAACATGACACCAAACTTATTATTTGCACTTTTTAACATAACTTTAAGAGGTAAAAAAAGGTTTCAGTAGCTTACAAATTTATGATATAAATAAAAGAGACTTGATATAATGCTGGATAATGCTGCAAATATGGCCTAAAAATGTACTAAAAAAATCACACGACAAACTTTCTCCAACACACACAAACAAGTTCAAACAATATATATACATTACTGTACTACACAGTAAATATATATACAGGTGCTCCTCTACTTACGAACAAGTTACGTTCCTGAGGCTTGTTTGTAAGTCCAACTTTACTCTTGTAGATACCAAACATATTGTAAAAAATGAAAAGATTATGTATATTTAGTTCAGCTATACCCTTTAATACAGCCTTAAAACCCTGGCTCACTCTTCTTCTCTTAGGTAATGTTTGTTCTATCTGGAATTTTCTTCAAAATAATCCAGTCTCATCCACATTAAACAGCTTTTCTGGCAGGTAACCCCCCCTTAGTGATGATGTTTGTATCTCTGAAAGTTTGTAAGGTGAACGTTGTTATGTAGAGAGCACCTGTATATATCTATATATATATCTATATATATATCTATATCTATATTATATATATCTATATCTATATATATATATATATATATATATATATATCTATATATATATATCTATATTATATATATCTATATATATCTATATCTATATCTATATATATCTATATCTATATCTATATATATATATATCTATATATATATATATATATATATATATATATATATATATATATATATATATATATATATATATATATATATATATATATATATATATATATATATATATGCATATATATATATGCAAGTACATCACTGTAGGTGCGCGTGATCCAGGTATATGCTGATAACCACAAGGAAAGAAGAAAACACGAAGTTCCCAAGCGCTTTCGTGTAACTCACATCTTCAGGGGTGAGTACAGGCTGAGGAGAAGTACAAAACAAGGTGTATATATACAGTGGAGGGTGCGATCAGGTCCACAATGGTGAGGTATTAGGTAATGACCCTATTAATCTTTACAAAGCACCCCAACGGTCGGTAGTCAGGTCAGAGGGTAAGGTGACCCAACCTTCTCTCCTGGTTACAAATCTTCTTAATTATAAAATTGTCCAGTTTGTACATGCCATTACTTAAATTCATGTTGACTGCTTCGGTATGTTTAATGAGACTAGATTCTATAATGTTCCTACTGTCAACTGAATTACAAGGTAATAATGAGGAGGCATTATCCCAGTCAATGCAATGCTTATTATCCCTCAAATGAACAAACAGAGCATTGGATTCCTGGCCTGTCGTAACACTATATTTATGATGTTTAAGTCTAGTTACAAGATCTTCACCTGTCTGGCCTAAGTAAAACCTATTCCATTCCTTGCAAGGAACTTTATAAATGCAACCACCTGTATTGTTGGGGGAGTTCTTGATTAACATTTGCTTAACAGTGCACGAGTTTTTAAATGCCACATTAACGTTCCAGATTTTTAGTTGTACAGGAATTTGAGAGAAATTTTTGTGAAATGGTAATACTAAGAGATTCTTATGGTCATGGGTGGGCTTGGGATCGGTTCTATAGAAAGATTTCTTAGTAATGTTTAGGCATTTGTCTATGAAGGATCTAGGGTACTTAAGGTTCAAGCCAATATTATAGATATATATTTATATTCCTCATCAATGAATTCCGGGCTGCAAATTCTCAAAGCACGTAAAAACATTGATGAAAATACTGACTGTTTGACTCTATTATGGTGGGCAGAATAATAATGAATGTATGAATACACATTAGTAGGTTTCCTATAAATACTGAACTTAAAGGAGTTACCTATTCTGTGGATCAGACAGTCTAGGAAAGGCAATTTACAGTCCTGCTCTAATTCCACAGTGAATTTGATTGAGGGGGCTAAGTTGTTAAGGTGTGACAGGAAAGCTTTTAGGTCCTCATTACATGGCCTCATTACCTAATACAGATACCTGACCATTGTGGACCTGATCTCACCCTCCTCTGTATATATACACCTTGTTTTGTACTTCTCCTTAGTCTGTACTCACGAAAGCGCTTGGGAACTTCGTGTTTTCTTCTTTCCTTGTGGTTATCAGCATATACCTGGATCACGCGCACCTACAGTGATTTACTTGCATATATATATATATATATATATAAATCATGTAAATCCACTATTGATAATCAGACAGTCTGTGTATTCATCGTTTTAGCAAGACTATCTGCATACCTCTGAATATTTAAATACAGTGTCGCCTTGGTAACTCGTGATTTCATATATATATATATATATATATATATATATATATATATATATATATATATATACAGTATATATATATATATATAGGCTTACCCATCTGTTACATCATTACTACATAAACAATTTGTGCTGGTGAATATTAAAACTGCAAACTATGGTAACAATTAAAGAAAATGCATTCTATTGATTATTAAAACTGTAAACTAAGCATATAAAAGGTGCATTCAACTGTAAACAAGGCATGTAATGGTAAACAAAGCATGTTTAATAGCTGCATTTAAATGTAAACTAAACATATATGCACTCAAATGATTATTAAACCATATGCTAACAAAGTAATGGGTGATCACAATGCTCGTCTCTAAAATTTTAAAAATTATTAACCTGAATGAATTGGCAACGTCCAATAAAACTTAAGTCCTTACTACCAAGAGCTGAAGGATCACTTCCATGTTCTTCATAAAAGTCTAATAAAAAACATGAACTCCATCTCATGAGAGTATTATGTTTATGTTTCTGATACAGTACAACTAGTTCTTCTTTTCTAACTATCACTTCGCTGTAACAAATGACGTACATTGTTCGCATGTATGAAAAATACTAAAAAAGAGCAATGTCTGCCAACAATACCTGACCAGTTTAATAATCCTGAATGCCAAATATCGATATACAGTATTTGAACATATTGTAAACTTTGGCTAGAGACTTTTTTCACCTACGTAGAATTACTGTAGTACCTCATGTTTTAATAGTCCTAAGAAAACGTAGATGCAGCTCCCTTCTTCCATATACCGTGTAGCCGAGACTTATCATCAAACAGGCTTTTCAATAGTACAACCTGAGGATGAGGAAATGAAACCGTTATGGACTTTGTTAGATCATCATACAATAACTGGTACCTTAAAATACCGAGAATATATGAAGGCCAATAATGAGAACAGCTTGGTCTGACCTCCTTCCTTCTCACACGGGTAGCTTAGACTGTACTGTGGTATCCACTATATCAATCATTTAGTCTTAATACAGTACAGTTCAGTAATACTTTTCTTAAACATTAAAAAAAAGAATTCCTGGAAAGCAACAAAGAAATATTTTGCACTTCTACTTAGTTACTGAAGAATGGAAGATTAAAATCTGAAAAATATATACTCTATCCTTTTCTGGCTGACTTGTGGGATATACTGTACTACTGCCATTACTTGTACAGTACTGTGAAGTGTACAGCAGGGGACAGTAGGGGACATTATCCCATCGGACAAAGACATAACATCAAACATTAAGTCTTCTCATCCGATTAGAGCTTCAGTAAAAGTTAATAAAATAAGTAAATATTAATTGACACTCACCTGAATTATTCCAGTGACCAACATGATCACCACATTAACTATTGACCAGGTATTGACCTTGCTACAGTTGTTCTCGGCCACGTTTCTGTCCCGCGCCTCATAAGCTCGCAGCTGATCCTGCATAAATCTGGACTTGGTGAGGTGTCCACGAATCCTGTCCATTGCGCCCTGAAATTAATAGAGAAAATTAAAACGTAATTCGAGCTAAGATCAAGGTTGAGGGAACAAAATTATTGTCAGTTTGCCATCAGTAAATAAAGTAATCACCCTGTGACCCACTAATACATAATGATAATTCTGCAATGTTTTAATGAAATTAGTGTTACATCTTTCTGTACGTTGATTTACCATACTGGCTGTGATTCCTGTGAACAACAATATATGAGAAGAAACCCACATTTTGTCTGCCATTGTGGGTGTCTCTTCATGACATAAAATGTATAAAATAAAGATTTTTGGCCAGATGAATTAGTCAGAAAAATGACCTAACCCGTACCTTTATGTCCTCTATTTTCATTTCATAAATATCCTCTGCGGTGACACTGGCTTCAAACCCAGAGTCCCAAAGGTCGTCATCGTCGTCGTCATTTTCGTTCTCTATCATGACTCCGAAAAAGACAGTCTTCGTATTGAAGTGCGAGAAGGTGTTGTCCCAGCATATCCGGTAGTCGCCTTGTTCAGACATTGTCGTTCTGCAAGATGAATAAATATCAGGCGTATCATAAACAATGACACTGGGGAACACATCCTGGAAGATACAACAGTATGTATATAGAGGAAAAGAATTGTTTTTCAAAAGTTATCCCTTAATTGAGAGCCATCATCAGTGGAAGTTAACAGTCTGTATGGCAGCCATCATCAGTGGAAGTTAACAGTCTGTATGGCAGCCATCATCAGTGGAAGTTAACAGTCTGTATGGCAGCCATCATCAGTGGAAGTTAACAGTCTGTATGGCAGCCATCATCAGTGGAAGTTAACAGTCTGTATGGCAGCCATCATCAGTGGAAGTTAACAGTCTGTATGGCAGCCATCATCAGTGGAAGTTAACAGTCTGTATGGCAGCCATCATCAGTGGAAGTTAACAGTCTGTATGGCAGCCATCATCAGTGGAAGTTAACAGTCTGTATGGCAGCCATCATCAGTGGAAGTTAACAGTCTGTATGGCAGCCATCATCAGTGGAAGTTAACAGTCTGTATGGCAGCCATCATCAGTGGAAGTTAACAGTCTGTATGGCAGCCATCATCAGTCGGCATTTCATGTTCCTTGCATTTTATTTCTGGGTATATGGAGGGGAATGGGAAATTGTTAGCCACCAGTTAAGGGTTAAGGCAGCAGAGAATATAAATTTAAGTTTAGCGGCACAAGGGTAACGTCTCCCACCTGTGAGATCCTTCTCCTCTCCGCAAGTCTTGTACGAGCACCGTTCCTAAGGGACCAGCCACGTAAAAATTAATATCTAGTTCACCTTGGCCACCATCAATAACCTGCAAGGAAATGCAAGATTGAGTTCAAAGTATCCACAATATCTGTAAAAACAATTTTCAAAAGTAAAGAACACAGGGTATTTTTGCATTTACACACCGCACATTCCTACCACTAATGCATTATCATATTCTGATAAGACGTCTAATTATAAGATAATTTTCATCTGCTGTATTACATTACCGGCGGAAATGTATAATAACTGTGATAGCGTTTCCAAAATTTTTTCTCTTTTCTTCCATTAATCTTACGCCATTATCGCCTGCCTCACCTCCAACACTGTGTGTCTCCTGCGTCTCCTTCATAAATCATCATGCGCATGCGTTCCCGTACATGTCATGCGACCAATCAAAAGCGTTTTGTTTTTGCAACCAATTAAAATGATTTTGGGTTTAATTCGCAGTACATTTGGCCCAATCAAATTCAAGTTTTATTTTGGGTCTCTTATATTTAGAAATTCAAGTTCAGTTCCGACCATGGAAGTCTGTGATGGGTCACTTAAATTAAATGGAGCTGATTGCGAGTTTTGGGGGAAAAAACGAAGAAACTATAGCATTTTTTGATTGAATGGTGTTCTTCCAACCTCAGTAAGGTGTAAGAATCTCAGAGTCCAACGACGAACAAGAACCAGGCCAATAAGGTAAGAAATAGGTGATTCCATCATATGGTGAGAGTCAGTTAGGTTAGGTTAGGTTTGGTTTTTGTTTTTCTAGTGTTTTTTGGTGTATTTTGCCATGATTTTTTTCAGAAAACGTCCAACGAAAAAAAATTGATAAAAAAACCCGGCTAATTTCCGCCATAAATGAAGGTCATATTCGGTCTAAACACACATAAATACACTAGAAAAATATATTTTTGACTTTCTAACAGTGGGAGGTGACATTGCAAATTTACTGAATACAGTATTTGCGTAAGACTCTTGATATCACCTGAATATGAAACACCAAAGTTTATTTTCATTGACTGTAAAAAAGAACCTTACAAACTGCTTTAATACCTACATCTAATAGTGTATTGATGACCTGAAGGTGAGTTAAGTGTCACAAGATATCATAAATTCTGAAGACTAATTACACACGCAGTCAATCACTTAATTGGGGCCCCAACGATACATCCTTCATCAAGACCCATACGTGGTTAACTCTGTGGATGATGGTTAACACTTTGAGGACGATGGTTTAACTCTGAAGACGATGGTTTAACCCTTCAGGACTCCAAGGTTCTAAAGGTAGGTGAGTGAAGAAACAGAGGGGGAATATTTAAGGTTTTAAGTGAAGGGTGACGTGTCATGGAGCGGTGACACCTCCACCTTACCTGATACTCCACATCAAGTGTCTCTCCAGCTTTAACCATCTCGTAAAAACATTCTTCTGTGCCGGCTTTAACCTCTACCGTCATTTCTCTCTCTATCTCTCTGCTGTAGGATGTGTGGACGAGGAACATGGTTAACAACACTAGATATATCTGACTGTGACTAGCCATTGTTTACACCTCAACCTCTCAAGGCACAACTAACCTAGTTTTATTATTTACCTTTTATACATAATGTGTTCATTTACCTTTAAAACACACACACACAAACACACACATATATATATATATATATATATATATATATATATATATATATATATATATATATATATATATATATATATATATTTTTTTTTTTTTACATAATTAATAAAATTCCTTTAGAGACATTAATAAGTGCCAGTATATTTGTTACACATTTCTGGATTTCTAAATTAAATTGTCTCCAGATGTGGTAGTGATTAATGATAAAGTTTGTTTATTATGAGAAACCATTAACCTTTACCCGTTGTGCTGTAACACTACTGTACAAGGTGTAGTTGATGTAGGAATACCACCAATAATAATATTTATTTATAAACTTTAAACTAGAAACATTTTGTTACTTGGTAATAGACAACCCACATTTTACATACAATACTGATAAAAATAGTTTATATTGGTTCGTAAAGGTTAAATTGGGTTATTATTTGTTTATAGATATATAAAAAAACTAGAATTATTTCATAATAGACTAAATAGTTAAATAAGATATGTAGATTTAATTGAAAATAAAATAAATTATGTAGGCATTTTATTCCACCTGTGGTTATATATTAAAGTGTGTGCTGGGAGACCCTGGCCACGGCGTGAAGCACTGCCCCTGTTACGTCTTGGCTCAACCCACGCCCACCGCCCACAACCCACGCCCACCGCCCACAACTCGTTCATGGAGTAGACAATAAGTTCATAACGAAGAGATTATATTAAACTTGTGATGGCAAGAAGTAGTTACCGAAATTTCATGAGATTACTTGATAAGTGGCCTGTGGACCCAACCAAAGCCGGGGGCAGGTAATGGATAACTTTATACTGTACATGGAGAGATATGGATATAAAGATAGGTATATGGACGGATAGGTAGATATATAGATCAATATCTACACTGCTACATACGTCAAATAACATTTCATTCATCTTATTGCTGTACACAGTTGAGTCAAGCTTCACAACTGCCTGGGACAGTTTAATGGTTTCTCTGGTCATCACAGGGACCTCGGGGAGCACCTACGGGTCCTCGTCACCAGAGGCTTTAAGCTCGGGGATGCCACACATGTTGATCAAGTCGAGTGTCACCGGATATATTCATCACTAAACCGTATAGCATCAAACACACATTCTAAACAGTGAGTATAGGTTTACTTTAACAATGTTGTATGTCTTATGGTAAATGTTTATTGTTCAGTATTATTACTTGTGTATAAAGTACTGTACTGTACAGTAGGACGTTTGGTTTAGGCCTGGGTGGTTAGTACCTAATCTAACCTAACCTAACTGTGCCAAATCTTCAGGTAAACCAAAGGTAATTATATAGGACTAACCCACGGCCAAAATTGATTGAAAACAATTATAAAAACGTCGGATTTTTATTGTTATATTATAGTAGATACTGTTGTAGTAATATGTTAAAAAAGGGATTTTTGTATATTATTTGTTACTTAACATTTGTGGTTATGAAGAACAGACCTAACCAACCAAACCTACCTAACCTTACCTACCTTCCCTGGTATATTAAACAGAAAGAACTTACCATGATATGGTGAAATTTGAGGCATTTCTGGACGTGAGATATGGCTGCATCGGCGCTATGCAGTCCTGGTGGGTTAGTCCTATATATTAACCAAACCAAATTAGTGTTTATTCTCTTACAACAAACTTGTGTTTTGCAGGTACCCGCGCTCGCTAACAAGCACAGCAACAGGTCTCTCTGTCGAGGAGTGCCGTCAGATCTCATCCAAAGAATTTTTAGAAGAGATGAAAGAGCATGAAAAAGGCTTCCTCGCACGCTTGTTCAAGAGAACTTAACCTTACCTGAATTGTTCTCCTGATTACATTTTAACAGCCTTGTACATCGGAAGAGCCTTTATTTATTAACCCTTAGACGGCAGCCATTATCAGTGGAAGTTAGCTGTAGGGGCAGTGGCCATTATCAGTGTAAGTTAGCTGTACAGGTAGTGACCATCATCAGTGTAAGTTAGCTGTAGGGGCGGTGGCCATTATCATTGGAAGTTAGCTGTTGGGACGGCAGTCATTATCAGTGGGAGTGTCATGTTGCTTGTGTTCCATTTATTACATATAGGGAATACTTTGCCACCGGCCAAGGGTTAAAACACACAATGGGTTCTTTATTGTTTAATAATACGAGTAGAGGACATCTTAGAAATATCATGAGAATCATAGAGAGGAGTGATGTAGACCTGTTAAGATTTCCAACTTTCCTAATGTCCAAAAAGATTTCCATGTCAAGTATGAAAGATACAGTCACATGCCAAGAACCTCTCAGCCAGGCACCACCATCCCCCAAACCCGTTGCTCATATACCTGTGATGGCGAGAGAGGTGTTAGAGTATCTCGCCCCAAGAGACAATGCTGTTATTCTGGACACTACCTTCGGGGCAGGAGGTCATTCTCGGAAAATTCTGGAGAGTTGTCCGGGTGTGAGATTAATGTGTTTAGACCGAGATCCCGTTGCCTACAAGTACGCTGAGGAGTTACAGAGAGAATATCCTAATAGGGTCTTTCCTCTTCTCGGCAAATTTAGGTACAGTATATTGATGAAAGCATTGTACTAATTGTTTTGTAGGTAATGGTTTATAGCTACGGGGAGTCCATGAATTATCTGACCCATTTTAGGACTTGATATACACCAAAGTATTGTAAATAGAAGACATTGGGGTTTTTCATACTTGACGAACTGAGGGAAAATAATTAATGGGATGACCGTGAAGCAGTGTATTAACTCTGCTTTGTTGTGTCTACAATATTTTTGTGGATGTTCGTGAATTTTTAAAATGGGTTGGGTGATTGATGGACGTCCTGTACCATATATTGTGTTAAGAGCTTGAAGCACCACAAGGAAATACATAAAGTACTACAGTCTCTCCTCGACTTACGGTGGGGTTCTGTCCCGTCGACCAGGTCGTAAGTTGAAAAGGCAAAAATAATACATAGAAATTCTAAAATGGGTGTCTCTTTTTCTTCTCAGCACCACAAAACTCTCACTTTTACGCTTGCCAGCCGTTTTAAAGGAAATTACAAACAAAAATTTTGTCGGTACACAGCGCGATCACTAACGCAGGGACTCGAAAATACGTAATGTTGAAAATATTTTATACGACCATGGCCGTCGTACGTCCGGGTTGTCGTAAATCAAGGAGAGACTGTATAATGTTCTTCAGAAGGTTGTACATTGAATTACCCTCTGATATAAGAATCTTCCTTTTCCAGTGAGCTGCCTTTACTCCTGGCAAAGCTGCAGTTGAAGAGAGATACCATCGACGGAGTGTTGATGGATCTGGGCGTCTCATCGATGCAGTTTGATACACCCGAGCGAGGCTTCATGCTCAGCCAAGACGGACCATTGGATATGCGTATGGATAATAACAGGTAAATGGATGGATGGATATTTATTAGTACAGGTGCTCCTCTACTTACGAACGAGTTTCGTTCCTGAGGCTTGTTTGTACGCAAGTCCAAACATATTGTAAAAAATGAAAAGATAATGAATATTTAGTACAGCTATACCCTTTAATACAGCCTTAAAACCTGGCTCACTCTTCTCTTAGGTAATGTTTGTTCTATCTGGAATTTTCTTCAAAATAATCCAGTCTCATCCACATTAAACAGCTTTTCTGGCAGGTAACCCCCTCAGTGATGATGTTTGTGTCTCTGAAAGTTTGTAAGGTGAACGTTTTAAGTAGAGGAGCACCTGTATACAGTTCAGCATGTATAGTATAGACCAGGGTTCTCAACCAGGGGGAATTCAGGTTTTCAGGGGGGGGAAACTGATTCGGGAGCAAGAGATATGTTCGATGAGAAATCAATCACAGAATTTTGGCCCTTGATGTGCGATTCCTACCCAAAAGTGGCAGAAAGAGCTATCCGTGCATTGCTTCCGTTTGTGTCGACATATCTTTGTGAGTCAGACTTTTAAACTCTGTTGCAAATTAAAACGAAGCAACGTAGTAGATTAGAGGTAGAAAATGACCTGCGTTGTGCCCTTTCAAGCACTCCTCCGCGTATCCCAGAATTGGCGAAGAAAAAACAATCACAGGTTTCTCATTGACTGTAATCTTCATCTGAATAAAATTAATTATAAATTTACAATATCGTGGTATTCTATTGAACTTTTTGTTTATTGCATTATGCTTCAGTTTGGTCTGTTAAGTAATTCATTATAAATAAAAAAAAAACTATTTTACTTTTATTCAAGTTTTACAAATCCATCAACATTTTCAATTGGAATTTAATTTGTAAAACTCCACTATAAAAATAATCCATGTAAAATTGTAAATGTATATGTACTAATATGGAAAAAATAAAGGATTTTCAGTATTATATGCATATTATTTGGAATGCATGGGGCAAACAAGGTTGAGAACCACTGGTATAGACAATACTGTACACATATACATTTCAGTATGTATGTAGACAATACTGTACAGTTATACAGTTCAGCATGTTTATAGATAATAAAGGTATACAGTTTGCCAAGTATATAGACAGTACAGGTATATGGTTCATCATGTATATAGACAGTACAGGTATATGGTTCATCATGTGTATAGACAGTATAGGTACAGCTCCTCCCCGACTTATGACCACCCGGACATACGACCGCCTCAGTCGTACCAAACTTTTGTCAAATTACGTGTTTTCAAGTCCCAATGCCAGTGTTTGCGCTGTGTACTGACAAGATTTTCGTTTGTAATTCACTTCAAAATGGCTGGCCAGCTTAAAAGTGAGAGTTTTGTGGTGCTGAGAAAAAAAGAGGCCCATTTTAGATTTTCTATTTATTATGTAAGCATTTTCGACTTACGGCCGTTTCGACTTACGACCTGGATTTGGGTCCCTAACCCCGTCGTAAGTCGGGGAGGAGCTGTATATGGTTCATCATGTATATAGACACTGCAGGTATAAAAATAATGATAAAAATCAGTCATTTAGTCAAGGTGTAGAAATTATATCGAATATGAGTTTGTCCACAGAATCTCTCTTAATAATGTAGGTAAATAGATCTTCCTTCATCACAGAGATCCAAACCAGTTGACAGCAGCAGATATATTAAGCCACATAGATGAGGACTCCCTCTATAAAGTCCTCAAGTATTATGGCGAGGAGAGCAACGCCCGGAAGATCTCTCGTGTTGTAGTCGAGTCTCGCCATCTGTTCAGGAAGCTTCACACGACCAAAGAACTGGCAGAGTTGGTAATGTCCGTGACTGGTGAGGACGGTAGACTAGACAAGCTGAAGAGATATTCCCATCCTGCGACCAAAACATTCCAGGTTTGTACTGTACAGTGAAACCTCCATATAACGGACTTCTCTTTTCACATAACCCGTTAGATGGGGGTTTAACATCGAATGGACCCTCGATAAAATGGACTTCCATCCCTATCATAGTTCTTTAGATAGAGATTTCACATTTATTGGGACCCTTGATATAAAGACTTTCCTCTCCATATAGTCCTTTAAATAGAAGTTTTACTGTATTATTTCTTATTACATATACTACTGCATCATCTGGAGAATGCACACCCTAGCTTATTGCACCTAAGATTAATATAACCTGTCACAGTCTCCCTTATGCTGTAACATAAATATAATCAGAATAGGGAAATAAAGCATTTACTTAAAAAGTATATTAAACAATACAGTGGTCCCTAGGTTAACGAGCACAATCCATTCCAGTAGGTTGCTCGTTAACCGAAACCATTGTTTCAATGGGTTTTTGGGTAATTGGTTTCAGCTCACCGAAAATTGCCTAAATTCAACAAAAATGGCAGAAAAGTTCACTTACTTTGAGGTGTGTATGTAGAAGGCTCCTGGATGATGATGATGTGAATTTGAAGTGGGAGGTGGAGGAGGAGAAGGGAGAAGAGAAGGAAGTGGAGGTGGAGGAGAAGCATTTTACTGCTTCTTGGAAGGTGAGTCACCTTCCATGAAAATGTCAGGAACCTCTGGACTGACAGATTCTCCACCATGAACATCCTCTCTCCTTCTTGAAGTGGAAGGCTGAGGGATAGCATCTTGTTCCCTCTGCCTTTTACTGAAGAAAGTGTCAATTGTGGTCTGTGGGGCATCTGTCCTCCTCACCATTAACTTATGTTTAAAGAAGGAGACCACTGAGTCCTCAACATGACGCAAAGTTAGTTCAGTTTTTTCCACTTCTGGGTGCTTTGAAGCCAGTTCCCTGAACTTCTCCCAGTAGTAAATTACATCTTTTAACTGTTTAGCTGACATATGGTCATCACTTTCAATTTCCTCCTCACCACTGTCAGCCTCTACCTGTAACATCTCATCCAGTTGCTTCAAGTCATCAGGAGTAAGTTCCTCCTCATGAGACATCACAAGCTCTTCCACATCTTCCTCCACTTCAAGGCCCAATGACTGACCAATGGACACAATCTCCTGGTCCAATTCTGTTTCTTCCTCAAATCCCTCAAAATCATGGACTACTGATGGCCACAGTTCTTTCCATGAAGAATTGAGGGATCTAGTGGAGACTTCTTGCCATGATGACACGATCAATTTTACAGCTTCCAGGATGTTGAATTGTGTCTTCCAGAAATGTTTCAGTGTTAGTTCAGGATCATTGGAAGTTGCCTGATGACACATCCTAAACATTTTCTTCATGTACAACTTCTTGAAGTTGCTGATCACATTCTGGTCCATTGGCTGTATGATTGATGTAGTGTTTGGAGGCAAAAACAACACTTTCACAAAGTCAAATTGATACTCCAAATTTCTGGCAAGGTCAGGGTCATGACCAGGAGCATTATCCATGAGAAGAGCCTTTAAAGGGAGTTTATTGGTGGTTAGGTAGCTCTTGACAGAAGGGCAAAACACATCAACAGCCCATTCATTAAAGAGCTGTCTTGTCACCCATGCCTTACAGTTGGACTTCCAATAAACTCCAAGCTTTGTTCTTACCACTTTCTGTTGCTTGAACACCCTGGGGTTTTCAGAGTGGTAGACAAGCATAGGCTTCAGTCGGAAATCCCCTGAAGCATTGGCACCAAGCAATAGAGTGAGACGGTCTTTCATGGGTTTATGCCCAGGTAAAGAGGCTTCATCTCTGGTGATTAATGTTCTTTTGGGCATCTTTTTCCAGAACAGCCCAGTTTTGTCCACATTGAACACTTGCTGTGGAAGTTAATTTTCTTCGCCCATCAGTTTTTAAATACATCTAAAAACTTTGCTGCCCCTTCCTTATCAGCACTAGCAGCTTCATCATGCCTAACAACACTGAAAATATCAATTCTTTTCTTAAATTTTTCGAACCAGCTTTTGCTGGCCCGAAAATCTTCAAATTCTGTGCCTCAAGAACCAGGTTGATCTGTCTTTAAATGTTCGTAAATCTCCCTGGCTCTTTCACAAATGAATTCAGTAGAAACTGAATCACCTTTCATCTGTTTTTCCCTAATCCAGATGATAAGTCACCTCTCAGTTTCTGCAATTAGGGATCTACTTTTAAACACTCTTGTAGATTTGTCTCTCACTTTCACTTCTTTAAATTTGTCTTTCTGTGCAAGAATTGTCGACACAGTTGATGTCGACATGCCATATTCTTTGCATAGCGCATTTGTTCTAATGCCTTGTTCATGTTTTTTTATGATTTCCTTCTTGGTTTGGATTGAAATCGCTTTTCTTGATCTCTTAGGTCCCATGCTGGATTCAAACAATGTCAACACGTGCTTTTCAAAGTTAAACTTGTTGTAAATAATGAATATTTTCTTTAAAATAACACTGCACTGCGCTATATATTGTCAATATGTAAAATAAATTCCAAAATGACAAATAATTTGCTTGGAAACACAGAAAAAAGCATTTAGTTGAAGAGAGTCTCAAGCAAGATGTTACCTCCAGTGAAAACAGAGAGAGACTAACGCCTGTTTGCTGTGTTAAGAGGCTGGATGCCGCGCATTAAACTAGTCACTTTACCTTCAATTATGTTCAATAATTATTAAAATGACTAAAAAATTTAATATTAAACTTTTAAAATTATTGAATAGTAATAATTTCTTGATATATACTAAAATAGTAAGGAATTTAAGCCCTAGAACCGATTAATGTATTGGCGGACTAATACTACAGCTGGTTGACTGCCCAGTGCAAGCCAAAACTTGTTGAGGTCAGCTCGTAAGAAACTCGTTAACCGAGGGGTTGCTCGTTAACCGAATTTAAGAATCTTATGGGAGGGAACTCGTTAACCGAGGGACCACTGTAATGGTTTCACACGTGCTGATAGCTTCCACAAAGTTTACATTAATATCAGTCTTATATCTTAATCCAACAATATGCTCTCTTTCTACTTTACAAGATGCTTCACAAATAGATTATAATATCTTATGACTACCAGAAAACACTGGATTACCCTTACAACCTGTGGGTTTTTCACTACCACGTCCTTCACCAATAATACCCAGAGAGAGAGAAAGAGCTTGTTTACATTCTTCATTTAAACCACTGCAATATTCTCACATTGAAAACTGTTTCCAAAAATCATAAATTAATGTTCTTTAATCATATCAGTTACTAAAACATATCACAAATCAGAGTAACCAAACATATATCGCAATTTTAAGAAGACTTTAACTTTCAGTGGTTATAGGGTGCCATGAGAAAACGAGACACTTAATGGGTTGACTGAAGAAAACATAAGTACATAACAAACCACCCTGACATTATTTGGGAGGATGAGAGGTTTCCATTAGGGTGGTTAATTTTTAGGTTAGGTTACCATAAGAGTAGTTAGATTAGTGTTAGGGTGGTTATCTTTAGGTGAAATAAGGAGTGGAGATTCTTCAGGTGATTCCCTTTGATTTTACTGTACAGCAACTTGATGTACGGTCTCTCCTTGACTTACGACGGGGTTCCGTCCCGACGACCAGGTCGGAAGTTGAATTGGTCGTAAGTCGAAAAGGCGAAAATAATATATAAAAATTCTAAAATTGGTGTTTCTTTTTCTTCTCAGCACCAAGAGAACTCTCACTTTTACGCTTGCCAGCCATTTTAAATGGAATTACAAACGAAAATTTTGTCAGTACACAGCACGATCAAACGTCAGGACTCGAAAATACGTAATTTGAAAAATATTTTATACGACCGCGGCGGTCGTATGTCCCGGGTTATCGTAAGTCGAGTTTGCCGTAAGTCGAGGAGTACCTGTATTCAGAATATGAAGTGTGAGCGTTCTATGTAAGTGTTCAATAGTGTGGTTAGTGTTGTGGTCATTGTAAAAGAATAAATATGATTTTGATAGAAAGATAGATATTTATTCAGTAAGAATATCATACAAGTATTTTATTTATTAATTTTTTTTTATTACGGGGAATAGCCCACCCGGGCACAGGTACTCATGCAGGTATACAAACAATGTATTGTCGCTCAAAAAAATATCTAAACTTGGCGGGGTTGATGAATTTCAGAATGAACACTGCGACTGCAGTTGTCTTGGTAGAGCTGTCAAAAACTCAAAATCCTTCATCCGTTAGTTTTACTTTTATCCACTTCGCCACTGATCGGCTTGTTAGCCGCCTGGGCGGTCGGTTGCATCTTTGTTACACACTGTTGGGAAGTACTGGGCATGCACCGGCTCCTGAATATATCGGAACCTGCTCCAGTGCTGGTCAAGTCTGGCCTTGAATGAGCTCAAACTCGGTGCCGTCACAACACTGGTAGATTGTTCCAAGAGTTTACAATTCTCACTCCGAAAAAGTTTGCCCTCATAGTTTCATGGACTTGTGGCTTCTTTAACCTTGAGCTGTGACCCCTTGCCAGCTCCAGGTATGTACATTCGACCAAGTAGTGCCGTCTAAGATGTTTGAAACGCCGAGATGTTTGAAACGCTGGTACCACACGTGACATTGCGTACGGCTCAAACAATCCTCCCCATAAGCCTGTTGCAACATCTGAAAAGTCTCCTTAAAAGTTTTTCCCAATTTGAAACGGAATTTCACGCAAACACGTTGCTCTTCAAGATCCTTCATTATTCAACTTGCAACAAATCGCCAAGTGCACTAAACACACGTTCACTCTAGCGTGTGTAGCTCGATGACTAATTGACGTGGCGTGATGCGGCTAGTGTGAGACTAAAGGTCAAGATCACCGCTGCACAGCGCTCCCGTCGTGAGCACGCTGCGCCGGCTCGTTGGCGCTCTATTTAAAAAGTTTCGTTTCTTTTTGGACAGACCTCGTATATATAGACAGTACATACAGATATACAAGCAGTGTGCATAGAAGGTACTTATATTTTGTTTTTAATATTACCCGGTACTTCTATAGCCATGTCAACTGAGTACTTTATAAAGATGATCATATCTTGTTTCAAATTTGTTATGCTGTGGATAATATTTTGCCATCATTACTGTAAGCATCACCCATCCTCTGACCTGCCATCATTTCTACCATCTTATGTACAGTATGTGTCCTCTTCCAGGCGCTGAGAATCCTTGTCAACAATGAGTTAAATGAACTGGATTATGGCCTCCGTTTAGCTCACTATTATCTTAAAGCAAGGGGTGTGTTAGTGGCCTTGTCTTTCCATTCACTCGAAGATACTGTAGTGAAGCGTCACATAACAGGTGAGTCGTGCTCCTTCGTTCCTTCTCACTTTGTTGGGGTCAAGTGTAAATCTCGTAGCTGTGTTTTCATTTTTCCTTCTTTCACGCTTTCAAGAATTTTTTATTTATTTAATTAATATTTTTTTTTTTTTTTTTTTTTTTGCTATTGTGCAGAACCCAAGTTAAGAGCACGCACACACACACCACATACCTTTCAGTCATTCTTCTTGCTGGTGGTAGAGTGGTACCGCTCTTGCCTTCGCAAGCGAGCTGTCACGGGTTCGATTCCCGGGCCGGTCAAAGTTGTTTGGACATACTTCCAAGCCCCCATTAGTCCCTGTTCACCTAGCAGTAAAGTAAGTACCTGGTGTAAATCGAAAGTTGCGAATTCGTGTTCAGGGACAAGTTGTTGGAGCTTCCAATAACTTGATGACATAAAAAAAAACCATTGACTCTTCAGGCTTCTATGCCCTTGACTCTTCAGGCTTTTATGCCCTTAACTCATGAGACATAAAGGCAAGCATGAACTTAGCATGCTTCCCTGTTGGGCGCTGTAAACGCTTCTGCGCTTCACCTTACACAAGGATGTAGGGGAGTGCCCAATAAATAATAAAAAAAAATAAAAATCTTCTTGCTATCATAGATATATTCCGCTATGCTTTGTCCTCCCTGTCTACAACAAAGCCCCAGATATCTACTACTGTATCTGGTTTACCCATCACTTGACACAGCCTCACAGAACACCATACAGTATACTGTAAGTATCCATCAGCTGCACACCCTTCCTCAAATATCACACCTCACCACAATTCCCAGTAGTTCGTGTGTGTGTTGGCTCTTTTTGTATGTCCACGATCCTTCTTCCTCCATACTTCCATCTCATCCCCCTCTCCCTCCTAACCTCCACCTCAGAATTGAATGCAACCTGGGTTGGTTTGAGTCACATGAAACATTAGGGATTTCATCTTGGTGACCATTTGAATGGTGCACACTCTTCATAGTTGCATTATACTGTACTGTATACTATATGACTTGAGAAATAAATCTTAGGTCTTGATTCATGTTCCTCTCTCTTGGGGTCTTCCTCCAGGGGTACAGGTATTCCTCTTTATGGTTACTCCTCTTGGGAAATACTGTAGAGCCTAAATTCTAAGGAAATGTATGAGATCTTTCTGTTGGGGACTCAATGACTGTCAGTCATACAGGGCAGAGTAGGGAATCCTGAGCCTCTTGTTTCTTCTTTAGTGTTAGGGAGTGACAAATTCCTTTATGAACGATATTTCTAATACAGAATATTTCGCTCTGAAGGAGTGGACATTGATAAGACTTCAGCAACTATCGGGTTAGGTGTGACCAAACATCGGAGCGCACTGTCCACGTATTCTCCCAGGGAGATGGATGTTCTCATGGCCAAGAAGTGGGAGTCACTGACCAAGCACGTCGTCTTGCCCTCCGAGGAAGAGGTTAAAAGTAATCCACGGGCGAGGTCGGCCAAGCTTAGGGCAGCTGTCAAAGCATAAATGAGATTGTAAGTCTTAGAAGCTTATGATTTTTGTAAATACAGTAGTGAAGCTTTTCATAGATTTACAGTATGTTTTTACAAAAGAAGATCAAAATTTAGTGGTGATTCATTTACAACATAAATTAATGTAAGCAGCACTGCATACAAGTGGTTGTGTATACAGTATACTGTACTCTATATATTCCAGTATATATAGACAAAAATCTCAACAGATAATAAGGATCCTGTATGATTTGTATAATAAAAATTATTTAAATAATATTAATCTTTTTACTGACCAGCTAATTTAGAAGTTTTATCAAAGAAACAATAGAAATAAATATTTAAGTTATCATAAAACAATTGTGTAGACTACAAAATTTTCTTAGTTATGATAGAAGGAATTGAGAACAAGGAGTGAGGAGGAGAACATAGAAGTTGGGGGTCACTTGAAGATTAGCCCCTAGCTTCTTATACCTGGTGATTATGCACACTTGTTACTTGGGGCTTAGGTTAGGTTAATATTAGGGTGGTTAATCTTTAGGTGAAATAAACTGAGGGTTAAACTTTAGGTGAAATAAAGTAGGGGTTAATCTTTAGGTGAAATAAACTGGGGGCTAATCTTCAGGTGAAAAAAGCTGGAACTAATTTGGGTGATATAAGCTGGAGGCTAATTATCTAGGTGATGTAATTATAAACAGCTTCTGAACCAGATACTGTATAGTAACAGGCTAAAAAAGATGAGGGTTTGGAGCCTGTATAAGTGTTTGGACAATAAAATACAAACAAGATAGATGTCAAAATTATGCCTTAAGTAAAACAAAACGCTCTGAGTTTCAGGAATGCATTTCTAAAGTTTATGAAGCAAAGTTAAATGGTTTCTAATGCTGTACTATGTGGAAGTATAAAGGGCTTTGATTCTTTAATGTTTATTACTTTTTTAGTCTTTTTTAACTGTTAAGAATACAATGCATTAATTTGTCAGGCCATGTTAAATTGTGAAATACAGATTCCCTAAAGTTAAGAGTGGTTAGTGTTGCAAAATCTTGTTCGTAAGTCATTCATTCAGAGCTCAACTCAATATCTCGACACAACATTATAATTGGTTAGGTTAGGTTAAGTTCCCAACCCCTCTCGGGAAAGTGTATTTAACCCACAATTATACTGGACTATTGAACTGCATGATTTTATATACAGCTGTCGTAAAGTTGTTATGCACCATCAATCACCACACAATACAATATCATCCATCACACCAATTCTTGTGTTTCCTATTACAGAATATCTTCCTTCTTCCTATAATTCACTTTTTAATTATACATCTTGCTAATCTATCACTTTCTAATCTCAAATACGACTATAGCTTTTATATGATATATTTCTTTAAAATTTTGGGGAGATTTGGTGTTTGGTGAGTGTAATCTGGAGTTATTAACTTGATGTAGTTTTCCGGATTTTGCAATTTTATTCTAACAAATTTTATTCTGAGAAAGATGGTTAGATTATTATTTTTTTTATTCTTGGATTGCTTGAATATTAACTTCCAGCTTATTTCACCTGAAGATTTTCATGCCAGCTTATATCACCTGAAGATTTACCCCAAGCTTATTGCACCTGGAAATTCGTCCTAGCTTGCTCCACCTGAAGTTTTGCACCCCAGCTTATATCACTAGAGGATTTACCCCTAAGCTTATTGCAACTGAAGATTCGCTCCAGCTTATTTTATCTGAAGATTAATCCCTAGCTTAATCTATCTGAAGATTAAACCCACAAGCTTATTTCACCTGAATATTAATTTAAAACTTATTTCACCTGAAGATTAAACACCCTGATGGTAACAGGTAAAATAAGCTGGGGCGAATCTTAAGGTGACATTAGCAGGGGGGTAATGTTCAGGTTAATGGTGCTAGGGGTAGTGGTGTAGGAGGGTGGTAGTAGTGGTGGTGGTGCAGGAGGGTGGTAGTGGTGCAGGAGGGTAGTAGTAGTAGTAATGATGGTAATGGTGGTTCAGGAGGGTGGTAGTAGTGGTGCAGGAGGAAAGTGGTAGTGGGGCAGCAGGAGTGATAATGGCGCCTGTATCCTAGTTGGTGTTGCCGCCCTCACACTGGTGACTCACGCCAACATCTCCCGCCATATTTGGTAAAGGAGAGTCAGTGCAGGTCCAGCCTCTCACACACACGACATGGCCCCACCACCCCACCCTCACTAACTTGCTATAACATCTCTATAACTTTCTATAACTCGCCTCTATAAAAAAATCCACCTAACATTTCAAAGTGCAAGTTTAATAACGAAATTTAATAGTCTTGTTATATTTGGTTGCTATAGTAAATAATTAGCGGTTTTCCATCAACTTATTCTGTTTCATGTCAATTGTGGTAAACATAATTAGTTTATATAATAATACTTAGGAATATACTTTATTAGTAATCCAGTATCGCTGAATAGTCTGAATAATGTTTTTGTATGTGTCCAGTCCATACTGAGGTAACATGTCAAGTGGCGGTTGGGATATCTTTTATTGAGGGTTACTCAAGTACAGTACTTTGATAACTACTGCTCTTGTCTACCGTGTCCATAACTGATAAGAATAAGGAAAATAATGATAACCAAAATACTACTACTACTACTACTACTAATAATAATAATGTTTCAACAGACTCGCAAAACAAGTGACAGTAGAATTAGTTGGTGGTGGTGATGGTAGGTGTCCTGATTTGACCTGACCAAGGTGACCTTTAGCAGGAAGTTGTTTCATCATAATTGCTCACATTAACTTGTTTTTCTTATCACCACTTCTGACTGATTGACTGGCGGAGAAGACTTTGGGTGAGTGAGGATGGTTGAAGGCTCTCATTATCACAAATTACTGTATAGTGAGTAATTTATGGCAGCTGCCCTCTCTCTCTCACTAGCAGGTCAGTTTAGTCACCAGGCCAGGCCACTTATTAAGTCAGATCACCAAGACTTCTCCGCCGTCACCATTCAACTATTTTACATTGTCCTTCAGCAGTGTGTGGGAGGGGGGAGAGTGGGGATGGAGGAAGAGAAGGAAGAGTGGGGATGGAGGAAGAGAAGGAAGAGTGGGGATGGAGGAAGAGAATAAGAGAAGGAAGAGTGGGGATGGAGGAAGAGAGAAGGGGAAGTAAGAAAAGAGAGGGAACAGGGGGAATGAGGAGATGTGGAGAGGCGAAAAGAGAGAGGGGGGAAGAGGCAGGGGAGAGAGAGGGGGGAGTGGAGGGGCGGCAAAGTTTTACAAAAGCTGTTTCACATCATTGCCGCTCAGCTGGGGGTGTTGGAGAGGTCTGGTCATGCCAAGTAACTTTAAGAAACTTTCACTTAAACGTTATCGGCTTCTTGAACTCTCCTACAAGTTCGATGAACTACTTGCTGGAGAGGAGGAGGGGGCTGGAGGACAAGTATAGGTGAGGGTGGGTGTGTACGGGAGGGGAGGAGGGTTAGGTTAGGTTGGGAATTAATCATCAGGGAAAATAAGCTTAGGGAACTAATCTTCAGGTGAAATAAGCTTAGGGAGCTAATCTTCAGGTGAAATAAGCTTAGGGAGCTAATCATCAGGGAAAATAAGCTTAGGGAACTAATCTTCAGGTGAAATAAGCTTAGGGAGCTAATCTTCAGGTGAAATAAGCTTAGGGAGCTAATCTTCAGGTGAAATAAGCTTAGGGAGCTAATCTTCAGGTGAAATAAGCTTAGGGAGCTAATCTTCAGGTGAAATAAGTTGAGTGAGCTAATCTTCAGGTGATTATTAGCACACCCAGCTTATTTCACCTGAGGATTAAACAACCTAATGCTACCTGGGAGGGGGCTTAGGTTAGGTTAGCCTTCGGTTAAGTTAGGTTAAGATAATTTAGGTTAGAATTAGGCTAGATCAGGCTAAATTAGATGGGGTTAGGTTTAGTTAAAGTTCTTGGTCATCTGAGACACTTGAGTAGAATTATTCGTATTCAGTTAACCTCTTTCTCTGTTATATGGAAGAAAACATTGGCAATGTTTTTCAGAGGCACGTCGACAATGTTTATGAGAAGAACATAACGTAGACAATGTTTATCAGAAGAACAGAACGTCGACAATGTTTATCAGAAGAACATAACGTAGACAATGTTTATCAGAAGAACAGAACGTCGACAATGTTTATGAGAAGAACATAACGTCGACAATGTTCATGAGAAGAACATAACGTCGACAATGTTTATCAGAAGAACAGAACGTCGACAATGTTTATGAGAAGAACATAACGTAGACAATGTTTATCAGAAGAACATAACGTCGACAATGTTTATCAGAAGAACAGAACGTCGACAATGTTTATGAGAAGAACATAACGTAGACAATGTTTATCAGAAGAACAGAACGTCGACAATGTTTATGAGAAGAACATAACGTCGACAATGTTTATCAGAACATAACGTCGACAATGTTTATCAGAAGAACAGAACGTCGACAATGTTTATGAACATAACGTCGACAATGTTTATCAGAAGAACAGAACGTCGACAATGTTTAACGTACAATGTTTATCAGAACATAACGTCGACAATGTTTATCAGAAGAACATAACGTCGACAATGTTTATCAGAACATAACGTCGACAATGTTTATGAGAAGAACATAACGTCGACAATGTTTATCAGAAGAACATAACGTCGACAATGTTTAGAAGAACATAACGTCGACAATGTTTATCAGAAGAACAGAACGTCGACAATGTTTATCAGAACATAACGTCGACAATGTTTATCAGAACATAACGTCGACAATGTTTATCAGAAGAACAGAACGTCGACAATGTTTATGAGAAGAACATAACGTCGACAATGTTTATCAGAACATAACGTCGACAATGTTTATAAGAAGAACAGAACGTCGACAATGTTTATGAGAAGAACAGAACGTCGACAATGTTTATGAAGAACATAACGTCGACAATGTTTATAGAAGAACAGAACGTCGACAATGTTTATCGTCGACAATGTTTATCAGAACATAACGTCGACAATGTTTATCAGAACATAACGTCGACAATGTTTATCGAAGAACATAACGTCGACAATGTTTATCAGAACATAACGTCGACAATATTTATCAGAACATAACGTCGACAATGTTTATCAGAAGAACATAACGTCGACAATGTTTATCAGAACATAACGTCGACAATGTTTATCAGAACATAACGTCGACAATGTTTATCAGAAGAACAGAACGTCGACAATGTTTATGAGAAGAACATAACGTCGACAATGTTTATCATAACGTCGACAATG